AATTTATAAATTAATTGCATAGAAGATAGTAATTAATGAAAAACCAATAATATCTTCGACTCAGTTCGAACATTCGGAGAATAATTTCCTAACGTCGAATGAAAATTTAGGAAACTGAGGTAGGTGCCACCTATGACTTTACACTGGAAGCTTGTGCTCCGTTAGCGCCAACCTTGATTTTTCACTGGAACGCAAGTTTCCAGTGTAAAATTATAGATAGCACCTACAGCTGTTTCCAAAATTTTCATTCGGCATTAAAAAATTAACAAATTACGCTATTTTTGCGATTAATTTATCAACTTTTATACTTGTATTGCAAAGGCGCGTTCTTTACGAACATTCTAATATAATTTTGATTATTCATTTCTTCTAAATTAATTAGTTACGTACATTTATTTCCCAGAGTGATCCAACTGATGTTGGTAGTACTATTGGTTTTCCATTAATTACAATCTTCTATGCAATTAATTTACAAATTATATGTGCACATTATAAAAACAAAATCCTTGGAAATATTCCCATATCATTTCTTTTCGTATTTTACTACTAGTTTTGTTCAGAATTATTTATTTTGATGGACAATCGTGCCGACCGTTGTTGTGAAATCCCGAACGCCGTCAAGTAACTCATAATAATAAATTGGTTAGCATCAAATTATAAGCAAAAATTGCATGAGAATGTTGCCCAAAGATCCAGCTTTGCGATCCAGTTATAAAAGTTCATAAATTAATAGTAGAAGTTAAGTAATTTGTTAATTTCGTACTGTCAAAGTATCTGTCATGAAAATTTCGTCAACTCTTTGCCTTCAAAGTTCAAACGGAACTGTGAAAATTCACAAGAGATAGGAGATATGTTATACTTTGTGCGTAGCACTTAGCTTGGTATCGTTTCCCAAAGGAAAACGATACCAATTACCAGGTCTCACCACGAGGAGGTGGCTACGCATCGAGACCCACATGCGCCCTAGTGGCGCATCCTACTGGCGCTATCTGTATCAAAGATACCCTAGTCTAACTTGGAGCGAAAGAAGTTAAAGCGACTCTATTGACACTTTATTTTATTTCGTGTCTTACAAAGGGAACTTCGATTCGGTATACTGAAACTCTACTGTCGCAACGCTAAGATATTTTCAAGTTCCCATAAAAATAGGGAATGAAATATCAAACACGCGAGCAAATAGAAAATCGCGACGCGCCCGAACGAGATCGCGATTATTCGAAAGACCGACTAGCCTAGGCGATGTACTCCCGTGTACAGAGATAACTTCATACCTCGGCACCCTCCCGATCGGGCCTAGCTCAATTCCAGTCACTGTCGCACTCGCCAAGACTTACACGTGGACCAAGGATAGTCCCTGAACCAATGAAACTTCTAGTGTCAACGCGAGGGCCCTGCTGGGCGGTTGCCGGCCAAGACAGACACTTCGCATCCCAGCCACACGGGGTAGAACTTAATCATCCCTGTGGTCTAACCGTAGATGGTACTAGTCCGTCAGCCAGCATGTGCCCGAGCCCCAGTCGCGTACGACTTAGGCAGCGGACCGCCCCGTCGAGGTCAGAAGACGCACTGATCCGAGGGGGTCACCCTGGAACCCGATGCATGACGAGATTGACAGTGACTGGAAATGAGTGTCGGAGACGAGTCGTGAGGATGACTTACGAAGCATGTACTTATCGAGTACACGAGAGCACGTCGCGTAGGCTAGTCGGTACTTACGAACGATCGCGATTATCGCGAGAACAATTATGTTCTATTTGCTAAACGAGGGGGATAAGAAAATGATAGAGAATTTATAAATTTCGCTCCAAATTAGGTAGCTTACCTTTGTACAGACAGCGCGCACATGATACTTAGTCTATGGATCTATCTTATGATTACTTAAAAGTAAACGCACGCATCGTTCATTGATGTGTCGCAAACAGAATCTTGAGAAACCTAAAAGCTAAAACAGAATATATTATTGTTAATATGTAGCTGAAAGGAAAGGGATTAGTACGAGGAAACCATCAAGGATAATAACCAAATGGAACGAGCAAGCCAACGACGAGACCTGAGCAACATAACTACGAGACAGAAACATTCCAACGGTGAGATATAAACATACCAACGAGGAAGCGCTCGAGTATTATACGAAATACTCGAACGCTCTAACGAAAACAAATCGAACGGAAGTCGTAAAATTTGTGAAAGGAAAGATTTAGCCAACGATGAGACATAAGTAAACCAACGACGAAGCATTCGAATATTGTACGAAATACTCGAATGCTGAAACAAAAAGACAAATAGAATGAAAGAAATAAAATCTGGAAGAAGAAAAATAATTAGAACCTGAAAGAAGAAATTATTGTTAAATTATTTAAGAGAGTGGACAATGGCCACTGAATAGCCATTGATCTAGCCAACGATGATATATAATATAAATAAACCAACGACGAAGCATTCGAATATTGTACAAAATACTCCAATGCACAAACAATGAAAATTAGAATAACAGAAATAGAATCTGAAAGAAGAAAGATAATTAAAACCTGAAACAAAAAATAATTAGTACCTGAAAGAAAGAATTATTGTTAAATTATTTAAGAGAGTGGACAATGGCCACTGAATAGCCATTGATCTAGCCAACGATGATATGTAATATAAATAAACCAACGACGAAGCATTCGAATATTTTACAAAATACTCGAATGCATAAACAATGAAATCTAGAATAAAAGAAATAGAATCTGAAAGAAGAAAGAGAATTAAAACCTGAAACAAACAGAAAGAATGTTAACGCGGACCCTCCAAAGTCGAAGCGAGAACTGGCTCGAGCTTGCACGCAGGCCCCTTATATAGCGGCGGCCGGGCGAAGATCGGCGAAAATTTCCGAACCTTACCGATTCCTTTAAAAGTTACTTTTTCGCTGTATAACTAATAATTTATTAACTTTCTTGACTTTTATCGTTAATATACGTTGCAAACTAATTGTTATCAACAATTTTAATTTGCTATTAACAATAAATTTATTAATTTATTAGCTTTTTGTAAGTTGCGAATACATTTTAACACAAATACGTTGATTGTTTAAGTAGTAACTAATAACTTATTAATTTCCTTTACTTTTATCGTTAATATACGTTGCAAAATATTTGTTATTAACAATAAATGTATTAATTTATTAACTTTTTGCTAATTACAGATTCATTTTCACGCAAATACGTTATATATACTAGTAATAGCCTATAATTTAGTAATTTTTCCACTTATATTATAAATTTACGTTGTGACCAATTTGTTATTAAAAATAAGCGGAATAATTTTTACATTTTTGCAAATTATAGGTTCATTTATACTTTGGTATGATAATTTTCAAGTGATAACCAATGATTTATTAATTCTTTTACTTTTATTATAAATTTACGCTATGAACAATTTGTTATTAATAAGAAATTTGATTATTTATACATTTGTATGAACTATTACTATATTTGATTGACGTCATTGTCAAAAATTCCGGTCTCTTATCTCTCACAGCCTCAAAAATCGTCGAATGTTCAACCGAAGTATCGAAAATTTACAAGAGGTAGGATATAGCTTAAGCTTTGTGCGTAGCTCTTAGCTTGGTATCGTTTTGCAAAGAAAAATCTTTGGAAAAGGATACCAATTACCAGGTCACACCACGAGGAGGTGGCTACGCATCGAGACCCAGACATGCGCCCTAATGACGTTCCCTACTGGTGCCAGCTGTATCAAAGATAACCTAGCCTAACTTGCAGTGAAAGAAGATAAAGCGAAGTTACTGACACTTTGTTATATTTCGTGTCTTACAAAAGGGAGTTTGCGATTATTCGAAAGACCGACTAGCCTACGGGACGTACTCTCATGTACAAGACAACTTCATACCTCGGCACCCTCCTGATAGAACCTAGCCCACCCAGCCATCACAGACCCTGCCATGACTTACTCGCGAAGGAGAGTGAACGACGAACCAGTGAAACATCCAAAATCAAGCCGAGGACTGCTTATTCTGTAGTCTACCCAACATTCCTACAATAATATCTGATTTATTGATTCATTAATCTACACGAACACCAGCGCGGAATATTTGCAGAAGAAAAGAAACTATAAAAGAAAAGGTAATTGTATTCTCGTCACTAGGTCGTACTTGCTTGACGACAATTAGTGACGGACGGTTCTTTGAGGTAATTGTGTTTGGCTTCGAATTAGTAAGTGGATTGTCTTTCTATCTTGCTACCGCGTGTTTTTACATTCTACGAGCTAATAGATCTAGCCCTTATGTAGACCCTTCATAGGGCTATGTAATTTATAATTGGACATAGTTCCAAAATTTGAGGTACAAGAGTAGGACTTACAAACGGAAAAGCCAACTGAATTACTGCCTCCCGTACACCAGGTACTTGGCGTGTATGATGGCCAAGCTTCAAGGTACCATCATATTTTATCTGGATACGGGTTCGGCAATATGGTTTTTTTTCCCGATGAGTAATAATATCGCCGAAACGGTACTTCAAGTATTAACAATAACTATCGTTGTAGTGAAAACTAAATAGTAAACTAAATTCTACATCCTAGCAAGCTTTTGTTTCCTATTTCCTGAAGACGTCTTGTGACCTGCGTGGTCCTAAACAAGCCAGTTCTAACCGCTCGCTCGTTTAATAAAGATCTATACAGTCTTTCCACCGTTTCCACTGACTACTATTCCTTTGCGTTGCAATCCCTTAACAATTATAAAACCAGAAACCTAGTTCCAGTCCCTCGTAACGATTGCGGGATCAAGAGACATCGGATCCAAAGCCTTCGTACGACGATATACCAGCGCACGTGTATTCATCAGGAATGAAATGCTCCAAGCAAAACTCCACCGCGCAAACGTGGCTCTCCCTTCCTCTCCCTCCTCACTCACTCTCTGTCTCTCTTTCTCTTCACGTCGCTGTGTTTCACATTGGTCGGCGAGCATGCTTGTCGCAACACGAGCACGAGGCACGAGGTCATATTGATCGACCTGGATCCGCACTTCGCGTCTATCCGATTGCGCGACTCGGGTGCCGTTTCGCGGACCGCGTAGCGACGCCTGCTGCTGCTCAAACGCGCTGGCGTAGTCGCAACCACTGCATCCGTTCACGTCGCATCGTTCGTCCCTAACGTGGAATCGTCCACCGCCATGCTGGTTGGTGCACCGATCGTTTAAATTCTACGGGGGAACACACCGATTAATCGACGACAGTGACAACAGTGATCTGCTGCGACTGGAACAAGGCCTGGAATTCGGTGTCCCGATATTTTCTTCTCCATCGAGTTCCCGATCTCTCTGAACGGTTGAGTATCCCGGATCACCTCGCCACTTGTGTACACACCGATCAAAGCTGTGCCAACGTCTTCCCGTGGGAAGCTTCCTCCCGTGTGTGATTACCCGCCAGGCTTGCTCGCTCGGGTGGGGTCTCAGTGTGTAGGAATTTTTGCGTAATCGATCATAATTCCTCAGTGGCCTCCAAGTACGCGGGGTTAAGTTCGTGGAAGACCAGGAGTACTCTAATCGCGTGCACCGTCTTTCGTACACTCGTCGATGGACAGTGTTTTCCTCTTCGTTGAGCTAACTTCGTTAGTTGCAACTGTACGTTGAATCCGCAATAACTCACGGGATTGTGAGTTGCAGAAGGTGTCTCTGCTGTTGTTCCAACTCTTTCCTAAGTTGTCTGTTTGTTTGGTTGATGATGAACAGGGGTGGTTTGGAAATAAGTAGAACACTTCGTGTATATACCGATATTGGTAGCTATCAGAGTGTTTCGTTGCTTTTATTGCATGGTTTCGTTCAAAAATTGTCATTCCTTTCATTAGTTTTCTTTTCCTTCTGTCTTTTCAGTAAGTGTCTCGGTTATGTGTCGAAAAAGTGTTGGATATGTAAAGTTTGACTACTAGTGGAAGCGTTGTCTGATCATTTCTGTTATTATCCACTTGGAGAGTGGAGGTCGTACTTGTGACAATATCTTCCTTTAACGGTGGAGTGCCAAGAGTTCATTACGAGTAATCTTCCAATGACGCGCGTAATTGCTTGCCTGTTGTTTAACACTGTGTCGCGACAAATAGGATATTTATTAATATTAACGACAAACAATCCGTGAGCTCGATATTCGCGATTTTGCGATCGATTTGTAATCGATACGACTATTTTATTATTATTTATTTGCTTAAATAACCGATGAAAATGTGAGAACGGTGTTCGGAAATTGAAATACTCATTTCAAACGCGACGTCTATATTTTTGTTGTAGCATCGCGAGAATCGTGTTTAGAGATTTCTCTAAATCAGTTTCAGGTGGTAATTTCATTAGTAAAAGAGATGAAATTTAAGTGATTCATGCACGTGAGACTTTTTCACGCCTCGAGTGTTATAATTCCTTGCGAGATTAAGTCTATATGCATCGATGCTCGACTGTGTTAGAATGGGGAATATTCATGGCAACGACGTCCACGCGATTGAGTTGCAAGGATGAAACCCGTGCAAGTTATCGAATAAATGACCCTTGAAACAAACAATCAGCTGGAAACCCTAGCGTAGGATGCGAGTGAGAATCGCTTTCAATGGATTAAACGCTTAATCTCGTCTCTGTCATCCAGTATGTAATTCTTTGTTGTCTCGCATACTCGTCTCCACCAAGTATACCTTTTGTTCTCGATTGTCGATATCCGATACCATATAGAGAAACGTGGTACACTTTTATCTAGCTGCAAAAGCGTAAAATCTTATTTCAGAGTCCAGAGGAATCCCGCTTTAACGTAGAAATCTACTTTTCCGACAAGGAAATTAGGTTAACGATTCCATAGATCGTTATTTCGTAAATATCTACGCAGGTTTTCGATATTTATAACGTGCAGGGAACGCGGGGGAAAGATGCTTGATAAAATACAAACTATTCAAGGTTACAGAAATGTAGAACAAGAATATGCGGTATTTTCTTGGCTCGATTATGCGCTGCAGTATTGTTTGTCGCAAGTTCGTACGAAGACAGGAATATATACTGACCCGAACGCCAATTCTAATTGCTGGCATACGTTAAACACCATTCACAGCCATTTAAATTACCCCCTGTCTTCACGCGAAACCATCGTGTTTACCATGAAACAACGAAATTGGCAAACCTGAAATTTTCCTGCATTTAAATACTCTATCACGTGTTTTTGAGAACCTGAAATTTAATCCTCGACTATTGACATCTTTGTACTAGCTCATAAAAGTTGCATATGACTAACGCGATATAAATATTCCACGTATGCAACAGTATTTTTAATATTCGATCTGACATACTCGATATTTATTCATTTATTTTTATCTAATTCTCAGGAACCCTCGAGTTGTATCTATGTAAAAGATTCGAAAGAATAATATAAAATTGATATAACTGGGTATAAATAATATAAATATAAAGAAATATAGATAGAAATAGGAGATGAAATAGAAAGTTAAAGAAATATAGAACAAACGCGAGACAAGGGTGTCCATAACCCTTCGAATGTCTAGAAGGCGGCTGTCAGTAGTTAAGGGTGAATTTTGCAGCACGAATAATAGAAGCTTGTTCATAGAGGCTCTGCTTGAATTTCTCCTGTAGCACCGTAGCCAATTTTTCCCGGCCTTTTTCCCATTTACACCGCTCGGCTTTCTTCTCTGCACGCTTTCGCGCGTTCTCCGCATCTTCTTGACACCGTTTGCACCCTCTTGTTCCAGCAGAGACGTAATCGCTGGGCTCCGTGATTTGCTCCCCGTAATTCACCACTGCGGAGCCTATAGATCCACCCGGGATATCGATTTTCTAAATCTGGCCATTCTATTTCAGCTCTATTATACCTAACAGCGCAATTAGAAGCGGCCAGCGAGTACTCGACGGTTCAAATTTTCCTTTTTCCACGTTTCAGTCGATCGGCTGACGGACGGATGCAACTCCGCGAATCACCTTTGATACGCGTCCCGACCGTAGAGATAAACTCGTGACACGGCATGGAGATAGACAGGAAGTAAGAAGCGAGCCGCCGGAAACATGTCGCCCAGTCGTTTGATAGTGGGTGAGTTATGAAATAATAAAAAATTATTTTTCCTTTATCGTTCGATTTCCCTACGATAATTATACCGTTTCCGACTTTATTCGAGACACGTATTTCATTTACGTATCACGAACACACATATACCAACACAGACCCTTTGCACTCGAAGATTTTTTGTCTAAGGAAGAATAGAAAATCAAAGATTCTTCATTAAAAAAATTGTAGAATTATTTGATTTCGATACCTCGCACACTGTTACATTACATTAAATTTGATATATTAATTAATATCGATTTTTCAAATTTTATGAAATGGTGACTAAAGGTCATCTCTCGAGTGTAAAGGGTTAACTTTAATAGTATTTTCCGAGTTTAACAAATTCTTTTAATCTACCCTTATCCGAGACAATTGCGTAATCTATATATTTATTTATTTATTTATCGTGCACCGATATTTAAAATATATATAAACGTATTTTAAATAATAGAATTTTGATAATTGCTTATATATCAAATCGTAATGGAGCTTGTGCATTTATATAAAGATCGTATCACAGATCGTATCTTCGTTTAACTCGTATTCGCGCCGCAATAATGGCTATTTAGTCGTGCATGCACCAATCGTACACACGATATTAAATTTCCACGGATTAGTAATTCCAATTCGATCGAATTTAATCAACACCGCGAAGACTGTGTAACATTTGACAGAGATTTACTTACATTTATTTCAATGTATATTCGTGCTAGTATTTTATTCACTGCTCGACGAGTTCTCGGGGCTAGAATCGAACAGGGAAATAAAAAGCGTGACAAGGGAAAATTTGCGACACCCGCGTGCCGGTTTATCGCGTTAGGTCGGTCGAGTTTGCTAGAAACCTCCTCGGTCCCCTTTAAACAATAACAGTGCCTGAATAGTTGTGATAGATTCCATAGAATGGAACGTGCTTTATCGATTGTTTTGGAGGCGATCGAATGCACTATCAGGGGTGAGTGTGCAGAAAGAAACAGGAGGAAACGTAGCGACAGAAGTCGAGGTTGCGATTAGCGTAGATAAGGGTGGAAACGGAGCGTCGTTGTTGATAAAAGTGTCCGCCATCTCGGTTTTTCTATCTCGACCATGAAAATATCAATGCCTAGTATCTCGATGAGCAATTTCCTACTTTATATTCCATTCGAGAATTTCTGCGCAGAAAAATCCTTGTAGAATTTACGGAATGCATTGACGATCGTTGAAAGCGAATAAATAATTTGTATCTATATTATCGTGGAATCTGAGATAAAGTGGAGATGAATATTTTATTTAAAATATTAGCGTAAATAAGGGTGGAAGCGGAGTGTCGTTGTTAATAAAACTGTCCGCCATCTTGGTTTTTCTATCTCGACCATGAAAATATCAATGCCTAGTATCTCGATGAGCAATTTCCTATTTTATATTCCATTCGAGAATTTCTGCGCAGAAAAATCCTTGTAGAATTTACGGAATGCATTGACGATCGTTGAAAGCGAATAAATAATTTGTATCTATATTATCGTGGAATTTGAGATAAAATGGAGAAGAATATTTTATTTTATAAGATATTAGTATAAATAAGGGTGGAAGCGGAGCGTCGTTGTTGATAAAAGTGTTCGCCATCTCGATTTTTCTATCTCGACCATGAAAACGTCGATGTCTAGTATCTCGATGAGCAATTTCCTACTTTATATTCCATTCGAGAATTTCTGCGCAGAAAAATCCTTGTAGAATTTACGGAATGCATTGACGATCGTTGAAAGCGAATAAATAATTTGTATCTATATTATCGTGGAATCTGAGATAAAGTGGAGATGAATATTTTATTTAAAATATTAGCGTAAATAAGGGTGGAAGCGGAGTGTCGTTGTTAATAAAACTGTCCGCCATCTTGGTTTTTCTATCTCGACCATGAAAACATCAATGCCTAGTATCTCGATGAGCAATTTCCTATTTTATATTCCATTCGAGAATTTCTGCGTAACTTCTGCGCAAACAAATTCTTGCGTAATTTACAGAATGCATTGACAATCGTTGAAAGCGAATAAATAATCTTTATCTGTATTTATATAATGAAATATTAACAAAATATTAATTATAATACAAATATAATAAAATATTATATCACAATCGTTAGTTTCCGAATTATCGTAAATCAGAGAAATGGAAGATGGCTTTTGTCGATAACGACGCGCAATGACTGTGTAACTCCGATTCATATTCTTGTTCCCCTAGATCACTTCTATTAGGCTCTTTTACCGTTTTCTTTTTCTCCTTTTTTTTAACAAACGATACTCTAGAATTAATGATATTAGTATTCCCGCGTACGATCGCTGCCCCGTGTGCACGAGGTACGTACCAGTTGGTTTTTAAAATTGGTAAAAATGCGATAGAAGTTTCGATGAATGGTCATCGTCATTAATCGCGCGCTGTCCGTGCTTCGAGCTCACGCTGCGAAATAAAAGACAACGAGATTCGGATAAAATATACTTTCACCTGTTGATCCCGCATATTTCGACGTTTCCGCGAAATGAAATATTTATCAGAATTTTTATATCGTCGAAAGTTGAAAAAATTCGAGTCGAAAAATGAAACTTAATTTCGGTATTCCACGGGAGAATAAATTATGAGAGAAAACATAAAGGTTTACTTTCCTGTCGTATTATCCAAGAGAGCACGACACACTGTTCGCTAACTATTGACCTGTTCTACTTTCACGAGTGTAAAATCGAGTTTACGCGTGTATTGTATTAATGACCATGTATTTTACACATCGAAACTTATCCCATACTCGCAATATTTGACAGAAGATAACAATAACCCTAGGAGCAGCATCGAGACACACGTATTACGAATAGTAAATACCTTAGTATTATCTATTAGAGTTCTTGTACTACCTCAATGAGAGTTACGATTATCGAGATATTTAAACATTTTAATTACGTCGAGGTTACGGGACTGGAATAAAAATTGAAAGAACAACTGGCAGAATTAATCGTCGATGATTCAATTAAATTATCATACTTAGGAATAATAAACGTGTAAAGTGTTTAGATATCGAGATAATTCTGATCCACGTAGTGAGAAAGTGAAATTAGTGGAGAATAGCGAAGGTAGTAGCAGTAGGAACAATAGTGGGTAGTCCTAGCATTGTGCACCCTTTATTTTCTTGTTCATGATTATCATTTCGTAGACATTCGCATCTGATACCATCGTTTTCATCGTCTAAAGCAATGACCAATGTTTCGTTTCAGCGGCAATTGTACTCGCGGTTGCCACCGTCTGTCGCGCGGAGTGCCAGAGTGAGTGATCAAACCAGCTTCACTTCAGTGTCCTTCTTGTCATCGTTGTCTGTCAACGTTGTTCCGCAGGGCTTGTTGTCTGAAGATTCGATTCGTTCTCACCACGTTTATTTTACTCTACCTCTATCTTTTCTCTTCTTTTTCTTAGCGATTTAGTTGCATAAAATTGAGACATACGTTAATTTTACGCTGACCCTGCTCATAATTTGATTTACACTTGATATACGTTTAATTTGTGATCTTCTTTTTTAAATATTGGTATATATATATATATGTATATATTTCTTCTTTCTTTGATAATGGCGCTTGAATATTTTTCCATCTTTACCTTACATTTATTTCGTTGCTGTAGGACCAAGGGTCGTCGCGTTTCATCGTAGTTATGTTTTACAGCTCGTTCCATATATTGCTACGAATGCGACTCGTGGACGGATCTCAGATGCAAGGATCCATTCAATTACACTGCACTTCCGAGGGATCAACCGCCTCTCATGACTTGCAACGGCTGTTGCGTGAAAATGGTTCGCAACGCGAAATCACGTAAGCGTCCCCCGTCTTTTTATTTCCTCGCTGCATCAGCCTTAACCTTCTCATTCCACTTTATTTCATTCTCTGTTACACGTTTTCCGTATTACCGTCATATTTATTACCATACCGTTGCGAAATCTAATATAAACTTGACATTCGTAACGTTTGCAATACGGTTACGTTCATAAGCACTAATACTTTCAAGCGAGATCGAATTCATTTACTTTCTAATTACGCAATGCTAAGAGAAAGCGAATTCCCACGTCTCCCACAATCCTCTCTCTCTCTTTCAAACTTTCTTGTTTTATAATTTTATTCCAAATTATTCCTTCGGTCAAATTTCAAAATTTAGGTAAATTCGTATAAATTGCGTATTAAGTTACATATTATTCGATACTAGGCTGTCATATATATACATTCGAAAAAGATGATTTATAAATAACATAATTTACTAATATCGTTAAATTTATATCGTTACCTTAATATTCGTTAATACCACTTATTGTCGCGATCGATATCTAACAAGGAGTGTGCATATCCTTCGGGTCATGGATTTAGTTGTGCACATTTTGTATTTCGTTTCTTCTCTTCAACGCATATATTAGAAATAAATTATTCAATGTCATTCTTGTCAAGTGCAGAAAGAACGCGTGTTTTAATTCATCTCAACAGCGTTAAAATTTGACAGTAACAATCTAATATCGTGTCGAATTGGCAACCCGTTTAGTTGCAATTTTATTTAACGATGGTTATTAGCAATTCGCGAATTTAGGTAGTCCGAAACAAGGACTCGATTCGCCTACGTTAACCATTTGTACTCGACGATTTTTTGGCTACAGAAGAGTAGAAATTCAAAGATTCTGTACTAAAAAATTGAGGATACTTTTATCAGTAAAGATACTTTTTTAAATAAAGGATTGTATAATAATAGAATTCCAGAATCATTTGATTTCGATACCTCGCATACTGTTACGTTACATTAAATTTGATATATTAATTAATATCGACCTTCCAAATTTTATGAAATTGTGACTGAAGCTCATCTCTCGAGTGAAAAAGGTTAAGATTCGATTCTCATTACGATGAGTTTGCACCTTTGCACCATCCGCGAAGAGATTGGCAAGTGCAATAATTACTAACAATTTTCCGTCTGTTCACAGCGTACGAGACCGTGAGGCGGACCTGCACTTCGCAACTACAGATAAACTTATTCATGGTGGACCACGTGTGCATGATGGAAAGAACCGGCACTGGTCACATGTGCTTCTGTGAGGAGGATATGTGCAATCGTGTCTCCCCGACCTCGTGTTCAAATCCCGCACTCCTGCTGATCCTGTCGACCATCCTTGTACTACGCTCGGTCAATTTAGGGGTCCCAGCTTGCTTTGTAGAACGTTGCAATGGTCACGTCGTATAACACTGATTTACTCGATTCACCTGCCAGTGATTCCGATCATATCCTTCGTAGACATTTAGTTTTAGTCGACGAGCAGAAATCTCGTCGGGACGAGCGATCCTTTGCGGTCACGTACAGAGGTCTACGCCATCCGACCGCTCGGGCCTTGTGTTTCTTTCCACGTTCGCGTAGCGAAAGACAGAGGTAACGCGTACGTGCCTCGGCAAAAGGGACGAGGGTCGATCGATCATTGGGTAATCACCTCGGATACCTAACGTACGGATTATACATTCAAATTTGGCAATTAAACTGGCTCGACACAGGAATCCCGGCTCTCGATGGCTCCGCGATCGCTCGTCCCGGTCGGTTCTTCGGCATAAACAGTAGCGAAAAATCTCGACAGTGTTCCGTGTAGACGAATCATTCGACTCTCTGTCACTCTCACGATCTTACCAAGCGCCCTTCTCTTTTGGTTCGTGGCTCCATGGGAACGTTAACACCTTCGCGATGTTGAAATTTTCGAGTAGCGGGATGGAACTTTTATTTCTTTCCGCCATTCTACCGGCTGGATTTATTTTTCGTCCAAGATGGCATGTTACCTGGGTTACTTTCCAATTATCGCAGCGTCGCCAGTCGCCGTTCTTTTAGTTTCATTTCAAATTTTCGCGTCTCTCTTAAGCCGCGTTTATCGCTACCAACGTTTACCTTCCTTTCGGCCAAATTTTGCTGCATGAGGATCGATCAGGATCCTACCTTCCTCTGCAACCGTTGATTCGTTTCTTTTGTTCGATCTTTTCGTCTCTTTCACTCTCAGCATCGTTGCATCTGATTTTATACAAATTTCTCTCTCCTTTTACGTTTGTCAATTTTCAATATTTTGCAAGCATCGTTCTCTAGTTCTCGCAGAGCATCTTGTCGCGACAGGTTAGCAATAGTCTGTCATTACATCGTGATATTTTGGAATGTATCTTTTCGTTCGACTTTTCACTCGCTTGTCTCGTTTATCTCTGTTCCATACGAGGTACGTCGTCTTTTCCGAGCGAACGCGGCAATTCGTAGGTATAGTGTTTGCAACGTTGTTCGATCATTGCAAGAACCTAGGATTTAATGTGTGTCTAGTTGTGTTACCTCACACACGTTTACCGCTTTCCCATTGTGCGCACACCTTGCACTGGGAGTGACGGACCTTCTCCAAGGAAAACTGCCTCGAGTGACGAAGGATAATCGAGATACCAAGAGTGAGAGAGAGAGAGAGAGAGTGTGTGTGTGAGAGAGAGAGAGAGAGAGAGAGAGTGAGTGAGTGAGAGAAAGAGAGAGAGAGATAAACGTTCATTTTAGATAGAGCATAGAGGTCGACTGTTGGGAACATTTCGTATTAACTTGTTAACTCGTAAAAGTGCTAACCGATACGTTAATTCAATATTTAGCGAAGATTTGATACGCGTTTGATATTAAAAATTAGCGCCTTTAATATTGCTTTTAAGGATACCAAACGATCTGTACTGCAACAGTATTCGAAATTTTGGTATGTAACTTTGTAAATAATCGTTTATTACGGAGAGATGATCGCGCGAGGATCTTCTCGAGATCCTCGAAGCTTCGGATTTCAGTTCTATCGTATAAATCGAATTCTCCTATGATAATCTCTCTTCGATCGCTATATCCATCTCATGGAACGATACAATGCACAACATTCGATATCTATGCACGCGCCTCTGATTCTGAACCGATCGAATGATTTTCGCGCATATGCGAAACGCGCAGATAAGTAAACATTTCCCGACAGCTCTCTGTTTCTTGCCATACGTTCCTTACGTATAACGACTGTCGTACTTCCCCCGCTGTTCTTCGTCACTGACGCGACCGTAAACGTTCACCCATTTGCCATTCTTTACGAGACACCGGTATTTCGCGCCTCATGCACCATAAGACTGCGAAACGAGAATGGCCCATGGTACACGTAGCTTAAAGTAGACCACGGTCAGGACGCATGGTTTCGGCATGTCCATCCGTCAGCAGCGTCATGAGAAAGCAACGTCCGCAACCGGCGAGCATTGACAGCAGCATTTTCGAGCTCTACGTTTTCCCAGTCGTTTGACCAGCGCGCGTCTGCCTTTATTCTTTTATTTTTCTTTTTTTTCTATTCGACATACATATTTTCTTTTCGGCTAGATGGTTCAACGTTCGACAAGTACGGTTGAACGTTGGTTAAAATTTCGTGAGTTCGGGAACGAGATCCAATCGTCGAATGGCAGACGCGCGCACGCGAATGTAACCACGGTAGTGTTTAGCGAGTTCTGCAAATCACGTACCTAGCAGGGGTGTGTTCACACGTAGTAAAGAGCGAACTCGAGAGCATGGATCGTAGCACTTTCAGTAACAGTGTGTTGAAAGTCACGACAGAGGAAACTTTACGAGGCTTTCGTCGCGAGAGCCTCGTAGTACGGACCGACACCGAGCGAGTCGTTCACACGTTTACGATCTTCCGTGCAACCCCTTTCCTCTGTCCCGAGACTTTCGCGTCGCCGTACAGCAACACCTTGCATGACACTTGCATGAATCTGTTGTTAGTACTCTTGCGAAAGACAAAGAATCCCGTAGCCGTTGCTTCCGCGGGGAACGGACGTCAAGGAAACATCCTATTCGAATTTTTGGAACATTCGACACTGATAATATGCGATACGGTGTTCAGACAGAGAATAGTAAAAGAGATATGCATCGTAGGAATTAACGATCGTGACAATTCCGCGCGAGTTCCGCGTGGATGAGCGGGCCGAAGTTCGTTGCCAAAGAGGAAGCACGGCTATGTAACAGAAACCCGAACACGAAACCCTCCACCCATACGAATGCAACGCGAGGCAGATCGAACTTAACAAAAGCACAACGTGGGCCTTCAGCTTCGATCGTGCCACGCCATCTCGCGCAACCAGCGGCTTCCCGCGCGCTTTCAGGCTTGCGGAAGCTCGCGACGATCCCGCGGCACGCAACTCGAGGAACTCGATGGACGAAAGCGACGTTGACTCGCTCGAGGACACTCGTGGATCTAGCGCTTCACGATCACGCAGTTCGGTCATTTCGGGGTACGGCTGGCACGGCCAAGTTGAACGCGCATGTCCTCACAGAGAGGCTTCCGGTGTGGAGCCTCTTGCCAAACAAGCTTCGGTGCTTGCTTCACTGAAAGCGAGCTAACCGGTGTTTCTCTGGCAAGCCATGCGGCTCGTGTCGCGTCATTTGTTCATTGTCGCACGCGCGGCTGCGAGGCTATTTTCATTCTCGCGTCTCTTCTATCTGTCTGCCCCTTTTAGTTCCAGTTTGTCATTGCGCCACCGATCCGCTACCGTTCGCCATTTTCTATCCGACAGTTTGCCGATTGTATCGGAGAGGACGTCGATGATCGAGGGATCGTTCGTTACGTGGACGTTGATCGAAGATCGTTTCGTTTGTAATCGAAATTCGTTTCTCTGATCGAGAAACGCAGCGGGAGACGGGAGCTGCAATGACAACACTGACATCAGCATGTAACACGAGTGAATTTCCATTTCTAAGTGTGGCCTCGCAGCTGGAAAGAATCCACGTTACGCTACCGATTTAGTACCATGCGAAGTGATGGCGGATGCGTTCGGACGAACCTTAAGCAATTCGATCGAAACGTTTGACGTGTCACGACGATATTTTCGGTTCGTTTTACATTTCAAGGACGCGAAACGTCAAGTACGATACTCGTCTCGATCGAGGCTGCTTCGGGTTTCGAGACAGGGAAACGGAAAAGTAATTGACTCGGAATCGATACATTTGTTGCCCGCCTGTTTACACGAAAGCTCATGTCCAAGTGCTTGCATAAGAATCGCGGAGATTATTATCGATGTACACTTTTGTCTGTTAAAAATCGATGTTTGCGATTGCGCCGAGATGCCAACCTACGTATCGATATGCTGTGACATTTTTATCTCGATGTTGGTGAACATTGGGCATAACTGAATGCCGGTGTGATGATTATATTTTACGATGCAAGTGTCAAGAATCCCCTCTGTCTCTACGTGTCGATGTGTATCAGATTTTGTATGATCGTTGCCCCCGGAGATGTTGATTTTTCTGACCTCTTGGTTCTACGTTGGTGTCAGTTACGTTGATTGAAGACGATTGATAGATTATATCGGATGGCATGAAGCGATGTTTCGATGGCAAAGTAGCGTTTTCGATTTATACTTTGGCACGTGATTTCGTTGTCCCCCATTTAGATCCACAAGGACACGATTTTCTTGCAAGCTCCACGCGATTATTGCCTCCGCGCGTAACACGTTCGTTATTATTTGTTACATACGACATTTGAACGACGACCTGTACAAAGAGAAGAGATAAATAACTAGTTCTTAAGCAGAATAGCGCATCGAATGTTCTTTTGCTTATAAATATCGTTTGGTTTCGCCCGTTTGCGCGCTTTCGTTGCCATTATACATCGTCGCCATAGCCCGTTAATTTCCCTTATTATCTAAGAAGAATCTAACGCTTAAAGCTTCTCAACGCTCTACCTTATTCCACGCGATAAACGCTTGATTAACTCTCGACTTGGCAGAAAGTCTCGCTAATTACATATTGCGTATCACGCGCGTAACGAGCCAAATGCGTCTCGCATTATCGCAATGGCCGCAGCTTCTTAACGAAGAGGAGGAGGATCAAAGCCGCAGGTATCGGGGTGAAATAATTTCCCTCGATGCACATATCGTTGCCTCCGCGGAGTAATAATTTCTCGATAATAATTAAGAATTATCGGAAGCCGACTTATCGAGTGCCGTTCAACGGCCACGACGAATCGAGCTTACGGTCAGCTCAGCGCGTTCTTCGCGGGCCGTTCGCGAAGAATCATCTGCCCTAGCGTTTGTTAATTTTTTTACCAGACTAGTACGATAGCGGATACCAGACCACGGAGTAGCGTTAAGCAGTGCTTAGCTATAATCGAAACGATTCGAGCGCGTTTTAAGCCGATATTTTCAGCACGTAGAGTTATAATAAGCGCGTACCTTGGTACAAATAAGCATGGATTACGGATAACGCGAGAAGGGAACTCGAGCATGGAGAAAAGAGAAATTGCGAACGTTGCCGAAGAATTGGACCCACTGTCATCGATGTTCCTTTAACGGATGATACATCCTGACCAATATGGAACCTAGGATATCTAGTCGCGAAGTAAGTGGACGCGCGATGTAAATATTTTCGCGGATCCCTCGCGAATCCGGCCAAACGATGTTCTTATCCGTGCGAGCTTTCCAAACGCTGAGAGAGTTATTTAAGAAGAAAAATTATAATGCGATATAGATTATTCGAATCGTAGTTAGAGATGTTAAAGGGACGGTATATGGATGTTACGAACATCGCAAGACAAATGTGTTCAGAGTTAGGAACGAAAGAAACGGTGATAGACGGTTCTAAGGGCATATTGTAATTTAACGACCGTTGATATAACTAGAAATGGCATATCGTGTGGCAGATATTATTACGGGTACGTTGTACCCACTCGATTGTTAACGCGAGATGTAATCGACTATCGTGGATGCAAAGGAGCGATACTCTGTTGGCGTATCTTGATGAGAAATATACATGTACGTGTACATAATACGTTTACCTTCTCTTTGCGACGTTTTAAAAGGAAATTCGCGATTGATATATATCGAAGAAGCGATTTTACGACGAGAGATATAAGGTTCGAGATTTTTAAAAGGAGTTGCCGTTCATGACAAGTCGAGCTGCGTTCGAGACACGATTTCGCAGAGATTTCAGACGAAAATAACCGTGGCCTAGATTGGTCAGACCCATTGTCACATCGTGTCATTATTCGCAATAAAATTTATATGTCATTCGACTGGTTATTTGCATGTTCACCCGGATCGTTTCAATTTTATACAAGCACGGAATGAAAGATTATAAAACGACACGAGTCCCTATTCTCGAAGAGGCACGCCACGAGGAAGAAGTGCGAAGAAAGGCACGAGGATTCAGACGGTAAATTCAGATTTATTATCGCAGCTGATTACTTTCTTTCCAACAATTTGTCGCGTGGCCTGCGTGGCGCCACGCTTGAATCTGAACAACATAGAATCCATCGAAGACATCGAAGGAGTACACACGGTGACGCGATAACAGTTACGTTTATTCCGCTAATTTTATTCCTTTTTCATACAGTGGCCGCATTTCCTGCAGACAGCCGTGTCATCCGCGCTGTCATCCTTTCCTTTCCCAGGATTCCCCTGTTGGCTGTCAATCGTCGACAGGTCGCCGGTGTATGCTCGATGACCAATCGCGGCTATCGTTTCGCTCCTTGGAAGACTGCCTTCCGTCGAGATCATCGCTGTTAGGGTATTCGAGCAGTCTTGAGTACCTTTTACAGAGCCGTTCACGGTGTAGTTCGAGCGAGATTTAGAAGCTTGTCTTTTGAACGATTTCTCTGCTTCTTCTGGTTCTTGCACCTGCGGTCGGGTGCTTGAACACTCGCCTGGGTCGTCTGCTGGAAGAAAAGCAAATAGAAATCGTCGTAAGTGCAATAATTATTCCTTCTATTACGATTACTCCAGATATTAATTAATAATAATAGTCAGTGTTAATATTAAATAACGTTTGGATTACCACATTCATTAGAATCAGTTCCAGTCTCAGTTCCAAGATCTTCGTCCTCTTGCAGCGGTAACTCGGAGGCCAGTTCTATAGCTGGGCGGCAACAAGCGTATCCCTAGAATGAATAATAAATTGGATCAGTAATTTTATTACAGATTTTATCATATCGCAAAATAAAAAGAAAATATTGTACTTGTACCTGTACAAGATCCATGCGAGAATCCAAGGAGAATTGTTTCCCTGACATCAGTATTCCTCGAATTCGACGACGCATGGCTTGATTAAATCGCGTTGAAAAGTGACGTGTTATTACCTGTGAGGTATATATAATTTGTTAGTTTGGTTTACCTGGACTGTCTCTAGCTTCGAGTCGTAATTGACCAAAGGCTTTCGTGCATTCCTCGAACACATCCGCAGTGTCGTATATCGCGGCGAAGCTGCCATTCACGATTTTCGGTGACATCGGAGAATTGGCCAACAGCAAACTCGATCCAAAATTCTCGTTCTTCTCTCGGGTATCTGCAAGTTGAAAATCTTCGTCATTTAATTCGAGCATCGCGATTGATACTTCTTTCGTAGAGAGAAATATTTGTAAAAGAGATATACGAAGTACGAAATGATAAGTATTCGGAAACCTGACTTACCTGAGCTTTCTGAATTCCAAAAATCATAGACATGCATATTTATAAAAAAAAAGGGGTAAAGAAAAACAGAAGAAAGAGATTAAAAATCACCTAAACAGAACAGAGATAAAAATACAACCAATAAAATATCTAAAATTAAGTATATATATTAATTAACTACGTATAGGTAAAATATACAGAGTTTGATATTTACTATTACATGTATTTCTCTATCGCTTACTTAATACACATTCAACTGCTACTGAAAATTAATAACAGTAATAATTATTAATTATTCGATAAAGAAATGACAATTTTTGGCACAAAACAGGCATAAAAGGAGGAAATAAAAGAGTCTACCTAGCTAGAAAATCTGGAAGAAATTGTCCTTAATAATGAACACGTGTGTGTGAAGCAGTATACAGTTTTACATGCGCAATGTTTACCTGCATACTTTGAAAATTGCACGAAATTGCCAGTGTCAAATCAGCTGACCTACCGATTGTTTCTGCGTTACCTGCAAGTGGAACTCTCGCTCGTACAGGAGAAGTCGAGGTGTCTCCAAGGATTTCATTCGCGGTATTTCGAATCTCAGCCCAGTCTCTTAATATATCCTCGTTGGTAGTGCTAACATCGCAATGAAAATAATTTTTACTAAATTATTTCCACCAACTGAATCTCGCAATAATTTCATCCATCTTTCGAACAATTTGAAACTACCGATATCAGAGGATTTTTAGCAGTAATTATTTTTACAAGCACTCGCCATTTCACTCGTAATTATTTAATTAATTATTTAATTTATGGAGCAAAATTAAAAAATAAATTTCGACGAGTTTCGACTCACTTGGTCGAGGTGACGGTGAATCGAACCACGTATTTGCCATGCAAAGCAGCCGGTACACAGTGGACGCGACCCCTCGAGTTCATCTTCTTCAGCAAACGTTCAGTCAAACTATTTTCTCCGCGAAGACGAAACACCACAAGCCCCAAATGCCTCGTCGCGGGAATTTCGAAACGCGCGTCTGCCAAGACTAGCGCCTCGAACTTTTGTGCCAGCCTGACGCCCTGAAATTCGCGATTTCGACGATATTATTAAATCGGAGAGTCAATTCCAAAGATTATAATAAAAAGAAAATATACTTTCTAGAGTTAGTGATACTTTAATCGATTCTTATCGCTTCTATAATTATTTATCCACGTAGCGAGCTATTTATTTATATTTCCATCGCGAAATTACAATTATTCGAGAATGGAACAAGGAAAACGGAAGTTACATTAACGACAAGAAACATTGTCGCGGGTGTGAAGCTTAGAATAAACTTTTTAACACGTAGGAAGTGTGACGTAATAGAAACCTCTCGAATATGCTTCTGAAGGCCAGTGATTCCGTAATTTCTAATCACGAACCACAGTTTCAACGCTCTGAATCTCTTTGACAACGGGATTTGCCAGTGCTGAAATGATAAAAATTTACGACTATCGTAAGACAATTTCATCGCATCAAATTTCGAATATGAAACTCGACGAATTACCATATAATCGATAGCAAGGCCTGCAAATAAATGAAACACCTCGTTTGATCGAATATCGCAGTTGGATGGATTCAAAAAGCTGTGGCTATATCGTTACCTGAATTCTCATGCTTCAGATACAGCGGGTCCACGTTAAAAGTTCTGTGGAGTGCCTGGCTACTTTTCACCCTGCAAGAATATCAGCGAGAATTGCTTTAAAATAATTTCACCCTTTCGCTCTCTTATTTCCTATCGCTTACAATTTCTCGCAATCTCGCAATCTCGTTTCTTTCAGTCGATTGGAGTCAAGAATATTTTATATCTCATCGCGATTCGTCCCATCGATTACGAGATCTAATTATGTTTCGTCAGTATGCTTCTTTAGAATACGCTATACGATACCGAATCGAGGAATATTGCGAAAAAATAAATTCTTTTGACACCTTCACTGCCATGTGCTTTTTAAAATACATGGCGAGTATGTATATACAGGGTGTTACGGTAAAATTTTAATAAAGTACATCGGAATATTTAATTCTTTCTATTACGTTAGAATAAAAATTTTTAATTGTTAACCCTTTGCACTCGAGAGGTTCCCTTCAGTCGCCATTTGATAAAATTTCGAAGATCGATATTAATTAATATATGAAATTTAAGATAATGTAACGGTATGCAAGGTATAGAAATCAAATAGTTCTACATGTTAATTATTATTTCTTAAATTTCTTATTTATTGCTGGAAAAAATATCGTTAACTTTATAGCAGAAAATCATTGAACTTCTACTCATCTTTAGCTGAAAAATCGTCGAGTGTAAAGGATTAAATAGTGCATTCTTTATTTCGTAATTTAATTTATTTATTTCCATTCGAATTTTCAAGAAATGGTCGAAGCGAAACCAATATGGCGAATTTAGAGGATTAGTGCCGCCGGTTATTGGTGCCCACCGTGACAGTGAAGGTGTTAATGAAAAAACGTGAAAATATCTGCAACCGTGGACGATTTATCGTAGAGCAATAAATTGTTAGCGGTATTCGTTTCTCGCACTATCGGCTTTAACGGGCACTGAAACATCAATCCTAAAGATTGTGAATTATGTCGGGTCGGCCGAACGAGTCGACGGAAATTGCAGGAAGAATGAAAAAAACCCATTCTGCATCCGCAGTTGGAGCTATAAGTCATGAGAAAGAGGACGAAAGGCGATAATCTTTCGCGCTTATGAATTTATCGGATCTGCGACCATTTGCAGATTTACAAATTTCCTTCCCTACGCGGTCTTCTCCCCGTCGTCCCTTTTCTTCCTTTCCTATTAGCGACTGCCTGTGTCGCTCGAATGAAACTCGTATTTTCGCCTTGTCACTCACCACATGGCGGTGCAGTCGAAATGCACCATCAGCCATTTGCTAGGATTAAACGCAATCGAATCGGCGTACTCTATTCCTTGAAGCCAGCCACGGAATTCAGGGCACACGAACGCGCTGCCTGCGTAAGCTGCATCCACGTGCAGCCAGAGTCCATTTTGTTCACCTGTCGGGCGAGACAGTTGCTCGTGATCCGGTAGTTTAAATTATTTTTAAATATTTTTGAAATTTAATATAAATATAAAATTAACATTTAATATAAATATAAATATAAATATAAAAATAATTGTTATCTTCCTTGGTAATTGTATAAATTTGTAATATATTTCTCATACGTTTCGAGATCATTTTTGTGTTTTCTTTCCTTCGATTTCGAAATTTTCTATGTTTTACTCACACACTTGGCCGACTTCTTTGAGATTGTCGAAAGCACACGCACCGGTCGTACCCAAAGTAGCGCAAACCTTCAAGCAAATTCGAGTTTTAGAATGAATTACAAGCAGGTTGATTATTGGTTAAGTTTACTGAAGGTTTTATATGCTACGAAGTATCCTGATCGAGCAGCTGCAACGTCGTAATAAAACCTACTTCTCGGTTCATTGGATTTATTGTCTTGGAAAATGAAGGACTGCTCGTCCTTTGGGGCCAACTAGCAAAAGTACAATCCGCCTTGCAACGTCATGTTCACCTTATTTTCTACTGCAACTACTTACAGCCCTGACAAAATTAATTGACCGGTCGATTATTTTATGTCGCGATATCAGCATCTACCCTAATAACGTTAATTGGGGAGAAGGAGTATATACGAAGATATAAATATTTCGTTATAAATTATTTCTCAATTTAATACAACTAATACTAATTATAGAATATTTATATAGAATATCGGTGGCGAAAATTCTTCTAAAATTATTTTACATCCGTGTATGTCGATTATTCGGAAGATACTGAATCGAATAGATATTCGAGTAATCTAATTACACTTAAACTTTTCATCTCGAAAGTTCAGCCACTGCCTAAAGGTGTCTCGCTAGTCTAAAGAACGATACTCACGAAAAAGGGGAGCAAACCCTCAGCCCTGTCGTGCGATATTGCTTCTAACAACGTCTCCCCTCTCATGCTGAGTTCGTCATCGGATTCGATGTACTTCATTCGAACCAAGCCAATTAATCCAGCCTTCTCCACGCTGGAATGAGCCTATGCGACATCAGGGAATTAGAGAGAGAGGAGAAATAAAATTCGAATCATCATCGTGGAAAACGATAAAAGAATGATAAATTAAAAACGCTAGAAGTGACCAGGGAAAAACACCTGGCAGCAAGACGCGGACAAATGAGTAATAACTTGGAGATAAAATGATGAACCATTATAAGAATGAATTCGCGGGAGTGGAAGAAAGTTTTAGAACGCTCGGGGCACCCTTAGGGGAAATAAGTTCGTGTCAGAAAAGGATTTAAGGTACGTACCTGGTCGGAGCAATACGCGACAAGACGCGAATTAATCTCAGCGGGTAAACGGTCCGGCTCGTTTTGCTGCACGTCTCTAATGGCTCGGGTTCTTGCTGCGAGCAAGCAAACGAGGGTTGCTTCTGATGCGGTTGTTTGTATCACGCCACCACCTCCGGATCCCCCTGGACGATGCAGGAATTCTTCTGGCAGCCCGATCATTTTCCCCAGCCAGTTCATTACGATTGTCTCTAGCTCTGTGCACGCAGGACTCGAAGCCTTTTCAAATACACGAAAGTTCAATGTTTCACCATTAAGGGGGATGCAGTGTGCGCGTATACACCGCGTCTAACGTCGAAATTAAAAGTGTGATAAAATAAAATTTCTTTTAATGAATTATTTGAAAATTCTCCAATTTCTAATTACGGGATAAATTTCTAATATAGAAATTTCTTAGCGAGGGAAAATTAAACAAAATTTAAATACACGACAGTTCAATATTTCACCATTACGGGGGATGAAGAGTGCGCGTATATACTTCGTCTAACGTCGAAATTAACAGTGTAATAAAATAAAATTTCTTTTAATGAATTATTTGAAAATTCTTCAATTTTTAATTACGGAAAAAAATCTCTAATATAGAAATTTCTTAACGAGGGAAAATTAAACAAAATTTAAATACACGACAGTTCAATGTTTCACCATTACGGGGGATGAAGAGTGCGCGCATATACCTCGTCTAACATCGAAATTAAAAGTGGGATAAAATAAAATTTCTTTTTATTTTAAATTTTTAATTATGAGAAAAATGTCTAGTATAGAAATTTCTTAACGAGGGAAAATTAAACGATGAAATTTCTCGACATAAAAATTCTTACATGGGGAGGAATTAAGTGCAAAATTTTTCACACGAGTAGTGTTTGCTGGGGGAACAAAATTCTTCGTACGAAAGTTGTTCGATGGAAGGAAATCAAGGTACAAAATTTTTAATATTAAAATCTATCGATTAAGGGAACTTCGTGAAACGCTTAAATTTCGCTTTTAAACTTTGTTTCAAAATAATTATTTATAGAGTCTTTCTGAAAAATTGTTTATTAATTATTAGCAGCGGTTGAATTCGACTTCTGCACATTTAAAATTAAAATTGGAATGATGTAAAAATTGAATAGATAACCAGGAAATGGGTTCAATTTTGATATTATTTTTTTAACGCAACTAAAATTGAAGCATCAAGTTCGCAAACAGCACCAAGTACCAGAAGCATGTAATTAAAGGTCTCTTACTAGTCTCTGACAATATATGGAAACATATTAACATCAGCAGACAAAACGTCGGATTTGAATAGCGCAACTTCCAAACTTATCTCATGAGGATCCTTCGAATTCGAAAGGAGATCTACTTAACATCCAAGTCGTAGAAATTCATAATGATCCACCTTAATTTCCTTAATAATCCACCGATCTGTCAAAAATCCCCTCAATCCAACAACTTTCGACGAATCGTATATACATTACGTATGCACGCAAGCAAAAATAAAAATTCGAAATACAAATATAAATTCATGTAACAATAAGAGGGAGCTGAACAAACGAATTCATTTTCCCTTACACGTGCGTGACGTTCGTATATTATTGTTCTTACCCAAGTAAATCCAAGACAATTGATCGCGTCGGCCAGCATGTCGGCTAGCAGGCTAGCAGGTGAATTCAGGGCTGGAAAATAGGCGTGCATGTGCGGACTCTGCCAATGCGTCACTCCTGGCATGATGCACCTCTCGATGTCCGCGAAAATGTCCTCCCATGGTTCACCGTCCACCGGTGCCGACGAGGGTAGAACGTTCCTCAGGTAACCCGGGGAAACCGCAGGGTAAACGCGTCGAGATCGAATGTTCGCCAGATAATCGGCGATATAATCCACCATTTCTTTTCCTGGCGGTTTCCAATCGTGTCAGTAAAAATTCCGTATCGATTACATCGATATACACCGATTTCGCATTAATGAATTTTTAAAGCGTCGGATATGCTCATGTATCTTATTATTATTATTCTTTTCTTTCCTTTTCAATGGGGTGCCTTGGTCTTCACGATCCTTGTCAAATGTGGGGTATTTTCAGGAAGTATGGAGCTTCGTTACGTTGCAACGTAGATTAATCACGAAAAATTTATTAGATATTCGGTATCGATGACGTCGATATATGTATCGATTTTGCATTAATGAATTTTTAAAGCGTCGAAAGCTCGTGTATCTTATTATTATTATTCTTTTCTTTTCTTTTTAATGAAGTGTCTTGGTCTTCGCGATCCTTGTCAAATATAGAAATGTATTTTTTGGGCGTTTTCAGGAAGCTTGGAGTTTTGTTACGTTGCAACGTAGATGAGATGAGAAGAAATTATAAAACAAGTAAAATTGTTGAACACGTTAAACGTTACGACAGTTTTACGTACCGTTCTGTCATGTCACAGTTAGCTGTCATGTGGGCCCTTTCGAGACGTACGAGGCCTGAACGTGGCATTTAACGTGTTAATCCTTTGCACTCGACGATTTTCTCGTTAGAGAAAAATAGCACTTCGAAGACTTTCTGCCATAAGGTTGATGATATTCTTAAAACCGTAAATAAGAAATCGTATGCAATTTAGAACGTAGAATTATTTTACTTCGATATTCCACGCATCGTTGGCTAATTGTAAATTTGATATATTAATCAACATCCATCTTTAGAATCTGATTAAATGGCGACTGAGAGACGCCCCTCGAGTGCAAGTGGTTAACACATTGACTGTCACGGTGGTCACCAGTATTAATTTTCCAAATTCACATTTGTCCTACTCCAACTATTTTTTAAAAAATTTGAAAAACGCTGATGAACAGAGAACATTATGAGATAAATAACGAGTAATTTTTATCTCCTTTCTCATCTTATTATTTGATAATTCTTTGTACTCTATGAATAAAGAAAATTATATCATGACAGTTAACCTGTTACAATTTCTGGTCGTCTAAAAGTACCATTTACACGATGAATGGTAAAACACCGAAATCTCCACGGGATGTGTTAGATTGTGCGATGGATTCGAGGTTCAGAGCTGTTTCTCAGCAATTAAGAAACGAGAGTCAACAGCGACCATTGTCGAAGAAGATCGATCTACCAAGCTTCGATGGAAAACCTTAAACCGATTATCTCTGGTTCCCTCGATTTAGGGAACCCGAGAAAATACTCGCGTAGGACGAAATCGTTGTCTCGAGCAACGTCTTTGTTTCTTCCCTGATTCTTTCTACCGTTGTATTGGTATTGCATTAGATGGCACACCACAATGGGACTCGTTTCGCGTTATTTAATCGTTTCGAAAAGTCACGGGTCAAGTGTGATTCGCCGCACGAATCCAAGCTGCTGTCAAATGTCAAACAATTCGTTTGTCGAATCGCTTTATCTCCGGGTAAAAATCGACAGCTGAAACCTGCTTTCAAATTTAGATCCAAATGAAGGCGTAGATTCCCGTGAACGTCAGTTTTATTTACCTTCGAAACGCGGATAAACAGGGAGAGATCGATTTTCCGCGCGAAATTGGATTTAAGGAAAAAGGGAAATCTGACGCTTTGTCCAGGATTCAGAGATTTAGATCACGGAGATCTTAGCCCGTATTGGAACCGGTATCGGATCCATAAACTTCCCATAGACCCGCACCCCTATGGTGATCCCACTTTATTGCGATCGCTTTAACGCCTGCCAACTTATTCCTGTTCGTAGTTTCTCGTTTCGTTTGCTAGTATTCCACGAGATTACGGGACGCACGAAAGTGCGTGCACATTTGCAAGGATCGTGAAATAGTACTATTGGTATAGAAAATTACTATTACACCATCGACCATCTGCACTCCGGGAAACTTCTCGTTCGGTCCTCGTTCGGACAGCGATTTCAATGCTAAACACTGTCATGCCCCCGTCGCGATATTTTTATTCGTCGAATTAAATTCAATTTTCATCGTAGTATTTTTCCATCTTCGTCGACGAAGACAACGCGAAACAATGGCGCCGAAATAGCGGAGTGCGAAGGGTCGAAAAATCCATTTCCCGGTTCACATGCAATACGAATGAACGAACGAAACGTTTCTTACTCACCATGTTTGCGATACTCCTCTAGATTCATGTTATCTGCAACGAAACCAATCGACAGGCTATTATACGTAACACTTAATAACTTTTAAACAGTGAAACGCGGGTTTAAGAATAATAAATAGGGAAGGAGAAAATCGGAAGGCTTGCTTCGAAATTGAAACTTATCGGAGTGTCACAGATTCGCGAAGATGGTACCGATCTAGCAATGAGGGAATAATTCGCGCACTGGGTCCACCGTGGAAATCGATAGGGGATCGACTAGCTCACCGTTGATCCTCACAGCAGCCAAATCTCGAAATTTCGATGGCACCGTATCAGGCGCATGTGTCGACGTTTAATTAATTTCACCGTGTCGAATTCTCGGGATCTGCTGGCTCTCGCGGCGAGTTTCGCGGAAGCTTAGCGCAACGACGCAGCGGATTTCAGCGAGCGCGACGAACAGATATGCTTAGCTGCCCTATGCGTGTTGACCTAGCATCGAACTTTTACGCTACGATAGGTACTCGCGAATTATTTGTACGGATTCATCATCGATCGCTTGTCACATGGGCCCAGAGCTTATTAGGCTAGTGTCACAAGGCTCCGAGCGGCCTAGAACTAGATCGTACGCTTTCCTGGATTCGACTACCCGATCTGACCTTCCCTCTGCATCTCCTCTAGCTCTGAATCTTGTCCCTTCCGCTTCTTCGCTTCTCCCGACTCCGGATATCGCGACTGATTCGTTAATCGTCTTTTGCCTAGGCTCTGTCTCGGTTCTGCCTTGGCTAGCATCGCGTACTGGCCGGATGATCGGCCAAGTTACGTCGCACCAGCTGGACTGGTTATGTCGCGCGAGTTTAAGTCAAGTGGACGGATATTACTTAATCTTGTTTTGAGGAACAGAGAATCTCGCTCGCGGCTATCACGGAAATCCGCTGCTGTTTGCGTCTTCCAGCATCTGCACCGAAAGTTAAGATGGCTGACCGGTCGAGTTAGCCAAATCTGTGAACTCAACCCGATGTACGTTGCAGATAAATTTTAGCTGGTCCAAGTTACGTAGCTAAGGTTACGTTCTTTGTCTATGACAGACGAATATTTCTACATTCGAAATATATTTGAAGAAGAGTATAAAATATTCATGGATATATCTTATTTTAGAAAAAAACAAATTATAAACCGATCGATGATCCGCGTGACATTTTCCAGAAGCAACTGGAAAAAGATACCGTCATGAAAGGCTATTTTTGGTAGCAAAGCTAAGTTGCCTGGTCTCTACGGGCAGGTGAAACGTAGGTGAACAAAATCGTAATCGTCACGGGGGACAAATCGCTAATGGGCTGAATCGTATCAGCCAATTAGCGATTGGAGAAGGCACGCCATCGAGCTTCGCGAAAAGCATAAAGACAGGACCCCTCGACGACACAGGCAGAGTCCTTAGCGAAGAAGCGTCGAAGAGTCTTCGTAGAAATAGATCGTGACCGGCACGGACGTGAGTCGTTCGGTGTCGGAGAGAGTGAAATTAGAGCGTGTTTCCGTGTGTTATAGTTACGTTATTTTAGTGTTCTTTTCCCGAGTCAAATTAGTTTTCCGAGTTTAGCGTTCGTATTATTCCGTTCTCGTTGTTCTGTCCGTTTTCGGTGTCTCGAAACCTTTCGCGCAGACCCGATATTCCTTCGATTAAACAAGGAATATATAAATATTTGACAATAAAACCAGTTTTCGGCATTCTACGTATAGGAATAGACATATGTGCTGATAGAGTTCAGTAATAGCAATATCCTAAAGGATAATACGTAAAACTACGATACAGATAGGAAAATTTTCTGTAAATAATTTTCATAAACACATCATAAATTAATATCGAGTATATGCAACATTTTTCACAGGATTTTTCATACGAATTTTCCTAAACTTTTAAATCTTGCATGATTTATTGGTCCTAGATATGTCTATAAGTATATTGGCGTAATTAAAGGGAAAAAGCAGGTCCAAGAGGCAAACTGACATCGCGTGTTCGATATTGCTCGTTGAAATTTTCGACAATAGCGACTCGGCTTGTTGAAAAGGATTCGCGGCAGGGGAACGGCCAAGACGTTATCAGCCGGCGATTACACACGAGAAAATAAAAGATCCGAGTGTCCCATACGGGTGTAAAATGGAAAATCGAACATCGGCAGTCGCGAGGATCTCGAGCTTAAGCCAGAATGACGCTCGACGATATTAAAAGCTCGTCCTTCCACCGTTTCCGTTTCCGACTTTTGTAATTTCCCGTAGCTTTCAGTATTCGTGCGCGATTCGAAGGATTTATCAGCGATGCCGACTGCTTACGTGTGACGCGAGCCACCGGTGCCCGATGCCGATTCGCGATTTCATCGAGAAATAAAAGTCAGCCGATGCACGTCACCTTTCCTAACGATACCTCCATTGTCCGTCCAAAACCGTTTCATTCGCGGTACACTGCCCCCCGTGATACGTCGAATTCGTATTGATGCAATTTTCAATACTTCCCTTCCGTGCGAACACTCGAGCTTTTGGGTTAGGTTCGGTACCATCGCAATAATTTTATCCACAATTTTTTAAATTATTTTAGAAACTCGACAGAGAAATTCGTGAACGGTGTTTAAACAATACAGACTTCGAATAATTTTCTTTAAAAAATTTAGGAAGTATGGAAATAATTTTTACCACGTTTGCAAGTTAAAATATCCTATATTTTTATACGAATACGCGTTTTAATTTCTCTGCGAGATACCAAGCTATTTATTTGCACGATTTTCCATGGAATTTGTAAAATTTGAAAGAACAGACGTACTCTATGTCACTTGTCATATCACGACTGTAATAATTATTTCCCTGCACTTTCGTGATTTTAATACACAGAAATCACTTGCTAACGTTTCCAAAAAATTCCACGACACGCTGAATATGGAAAATATTTAAAAAATGTAGAATATTCTAACGTTATGGAGCAGTTTGCATGGAAATCCTACCTTTTCGAAGCTTGGAGTCCCACGACGAACAGGTATGGTGAGTTTAGACACGATCGAGAGAGGCACGAAAGGACGAGATCCTCGATGGTTACTGGACGTCGATCACTTTACAGATGACACGAGAAACGATGTTTCGGGCCCCGAAAAACAGATATATCCACGGTTGAGGAGAATCGGTGGAATGCAAGTCGTTCAACAAGTGGCCGCTTTTATACAGAGACGCGCTAAGTACTAGCTGCTTTAGCGCAAGCGTAGCCGAAGACCAAGACAGAACGAGGAACAATTTCAGTAACTAAGCTTTGCGATCTTAAGGGACTACCGATGAACGATCTTGCGCTTTCGTGCACAATCTCGATTAATTTTCTACAATGTTCCTTATTTTTATATTTTTTCTTCTCACATATACTATTCTCCTTCGTTGCATTTCCTTTCAGTGTCTTGGGTTTTAATACTGGGTGATCCTTGATGGTCTGAATTATGATTACGTTCGTAGCAATAGGCGTGGTTTTGCATTGATTTATTTTTCTTCGCGTTGCTCGTCTCTTTGGATATTTATATAAATAAATTACAATAATCGCGAGTCGATGTAGAGACAGAAAATATCCCTGATATTTTGTTATAAATTTTTATTTACTCGAGGACATCGTGGAAAAATTAAATTGTTTATTCTGTGTCATAATTAAATAAGAAACAATTTTATAATTTATATTATCTTGTATCCAACAGTACAATTTTGAAAATATTTTTACACAGTGATCGATGGAAATAACGGAATTAAAATTTTGCAATAGAGACTGACAAAATTTGTGACGTGTAATTTTTGTAATAAATTTTTATTTATTCTTGGACATCGTGGAGAAATTACACGTTTTATTTTGTACCATAGATAAGTAGGGAACAATTTTATAATTTATATTATCTTGTATCCAAAAATATAATTATGAAAATATCCTCACCCAGTGATCTATGGAAATAACGGAATTAAAATTTTGCAGTAGAGACTGATAAAATTTGTGACGTGTAATTTTTGTAATAAATTTTTATTCATTCTTGGACATCGTGGAGAAATTACACGTTTTATTTTGTACCATAGATAAGTAGGGAACAATTTTATAATTTATATTATCTTGTATCCAAAAATATAATTATGAAAATATCCTTACCCAGTGATCTATGGAAATAACGGAATTAAAATTTTGCAGTAGAGATTGAAAATATTCGTGACGTGCCATTTTTGTAATAAACTTTTATTTATTCTTGAATATTGTGGAAAAATTAAATTGTTTATTTTGTGTCATAGTTAAATAGGAAACAATTTTATAATTTATATTATCTTATACTCAACAGTACAATTCTGAAAATATCCTTACACAGTGATCGATGGAAATAGCGGGATTGAAATTTCGCATTGGGCAAAAATTGCTCATTAGTATCGCAAATGCTAATACAAATCCCCTATGCATTGAACGTGTTGCGATAATCGAAGAAGAATAGGGGATTGGAAGCTTCTCGTGAAAAGAATTAGCGTTGCCAGCTTTTCAATGAATTCACGCTTATGAATCGTTTTCCTTATTCCTAGTAATTACTTCGATGAGCTGCATAAGATTGTGCAACCTCTAGTAACTTGCGACAAATCATTTAATACGATTGCACACGTTGTTCGATACCTTTCAATCTGCTCAAACCTACAGAACACGATCAGGTTCATTTATCTCAATGAAACAAATTTGTTATCACAGATGCATATACACGTATCAAAATTCAACGAATTAAATTGTACAATTGGAAAGGTTTCCCAATTTTGCAGATTCAATTTTTCCACGAAAAATGAAAATAAACTCGATATCCTAGAATTTCCAATAACGTGCTACGTGCGGTTAAATTTTTCCTTCTGAAAAATTAGAATTATAAAACATCGATTGACTTAATCCTCGGACAACATATCTACATATTTAGGTTGATTGGGATTTTTGAGATTGGCAAACTGCATTTCTCTGTCGCAGGATATGATTATTAACCTAAATAATATTAGACCAAATTTTTCTTTTTTAATTTCATGTTTTTTGTGGTAATTACACAATTGTTTAAACAGTTCCGTTTAAATGTGCATGCTCGGTTCAACTGGTAAAGGATATCCGTAATTCAAGAGAATGCAATTTCTGCATTTCTGTGTTATCAACGGCTGATCAGGTAGGTCCTGCATCTACTTGAAAGACTTCTCCGTACTGCATTACCTTGCACTTCAACTCGTTCGCGTTCAGATTCCTCTTACCACCCAGTGACGGCACCAAGCTCTACAAAATCTTCCAAATATCTATGTCAGCATGCATTCTCACAACGAAACGTGTTTAAAGGTCAACGTACTCAGCGAATTCGAATTTCGAAATGTCAAATCTCGGTGACTGTTCAATTTCAAATTTAAACGTTCAGTTCAAA